TTGTTTTTTATTTTAAAAACTTATTTCTTGATTTATTTTATAACAATATTATTATGTCTTCTTCCCACTACCCCTGCACAAATAATTAAAAAAAGAAAACTCATAAAAACATGTGTAATCCATCAAAACAAATTCTTGTATTGGCCATGGTCAAAGATGTATGCCTCATTCTGCATTTTAATTCTAATAGCTCCCTGGCAGGATGTGGATAACATGTTTCATCACAGATTTTTTTGGAAATATGATTGGTCATTGCCTAGATCAGAGTTCTTTCAAGGTTTTTTTTTTAACTGTTGTCATTTAAATTGTTCTCCTAGTTCTTCGTTCTACGTCAGTTCATAGACGTTTTCCGTATTTCCTCTGAAACCGTCCACTTCATCATTTCTTTTGTTACAGTAATATTCCATTGCATTCATGTGCCACAATTTGTTTAACTATTCCCCAAGAGGAGGACAACTCTTTTATGCTATGACTACATATGTATAATCTATTGAAATTGCTTGGCTAGGGGCAGACAGAGAAGGGGAGAGAGGGAGAGAATTTGGAACTCAAAATTTTTAAAAAAAAGTGTTAAAAAATTTTATTTACATGTAATGGAGAAAAAATAAAATAAAAAATTACATGAAAAAATAATAACAGTGAACCAAACTAATTTTATTTTCCATACTTAAAATTAAGTCCTTTTGATACTGATGTACAAATTTACATGAAGTATTATAATAGCTAATATTTATATAGTACTTTACAAATATTATCTCATTTTATTCTGACAACTCTGGGAAGTAGGTGCTATTATTATCCCCATTTTACAGGTGGGGAAATTGAGGCAGACAGTGGTTAAGTGACTTGCCCAGGATCACACAACTAGTTAGTGTCTGAGGTTAGATTGAATTCTTGGCTAACTGGCTGAGGGTCTAGCTCTCTATCCACTTGTGTTTGGTTTTACTGCAAAAAAGTCTGGGAACATTATTGAATATTATTGAAGTTTCTTATGCCATAAAAGCTACCCAGTGTCTTTTGCAGAATCTTTTGCAAAATAACACACATTGTATCCTGGTACAAGGCACATTTTTATTTCCACCCTACCCAGTTGTACACTCAGCATTATTGTGGAGGTGGCAGAAAGTCATATTTTAGCTTGATATATAGGAAAAAATCAGAACAATTAAATTGAATTCTGTAGAGAGGACTTCAAGGAGTTACTGGATGATTACTTATTGGGGAGATTATAAGGAGATTCCTGGCATGAGGTGGTTTCAAAGTGAAGACCTCTGACCTCTGCGGCCTCTTCTAACTTGAGATTCTGAGAGGAGGGTCTAAGTGGAGACCCTTGTTGATTTTGAGATCACCTCTGCATAATAGACTCATAGCCATGCCCTTTAAGCAAATTCTTTCTAACTGTCCTAATGGTAATAAAGTTCTCAGGGGTTACATGTATCATCTTCCCATATAGGAATACAAACAGTTTAAACTTAATACATTCCTTAGGATTTCTCACTCATGTTTACCTTTTTATGCTTCTTGTCAGTCTTGTGTTATATCAAATTTTCTATTCAGTTTTAGTCTTTTCATCAGGAATGCTTAAAAATCCTCTATTTCATTGAGTATCCATTTTTTCCTCCTGTAGGATTATGCTCAGTTTTGCTGAGCAGGTCATTCTTGGTTGTAATCCTAGCTCCTTTGCCTTCCACAATATCATATTGCGAGCCCTTTGCTCCTTTATAGTGGTAGCTGCTAAATCTTGTGTGATCCTGATAGTGGTTCCATGGTATTTGAATTATTTCTTTCTGATTGGTTAAAGTATTTGCTCTTGTACCTGGGAACTCTGGAAGTTGGCTATTAATATTCCTGGGAGTTTTCATTTTGGGATCTCTTTCAAGAGGTTGTCGGTAGATTCTTTCAATTTCTACTTAGCCTTCTGATGCTATGATATCTGAGCAGTTTTCCTTGATTATTTCTTGAAATATTATGTTTAGGCTCTTTTTAAAATCATGGCTTTTAGGTAATCTAACAATTCTTAAATTTTCTCTCCTTAATCTATTTTTTCCAGTTCATTTTTTTCCCTTCTGAGATATTTCACATTTTCTTCTATTTTTTCAGGCTTTTGATTTTCTTTTATTGTATTTTGATGTTTCATAGAGTCATTAGCTTCCACTTGACCAATTCCAGTTTTTAAGGAGTTATTTTCTTTAGTGAGGTTTTTGTACTGTCTTTTTAAACTATTTGGCCGATTCTTAAATAACAGAATTATTTTCTCCTACCTGAATAGAGATATTACTTTAATTACAGTACTGCTGCCTGGAAAATAAACCCTTTTTCCTTCCTCTAGTGTGAGGGACTGTCTGATGTTGGCAGCTACCAGGTTGGGCGCTGT